CAGATGAGAGACCCCATGCCTGTCACCTCTGCAGTCACCGCTTCTGCCAGAGCTCACACCTGCCAAAGCACTTGCTAACGCCTTCCTTCTGAACCTGCCTTCAGATGTGCTGAGTGTGACCAGGGCTTCCAGCGTCGCTCCAACCTCATGAAGCACCTGCTGGCACATGCCCAAGAACAAAATCCCACACCAGACCCAGAAGACAAGACAAAAGTGTCAGAGAAGGCGGTTGTCCTCTTTTCCCACTGCGGGCAGACCTTCCAACCGCGCTCTAGCTTAAAGCGTCACCTGCGGATTCATGCAAAGGGCAAGGATCGGCAGTCCTCAGAAGACCCCGGCAGCCCTAGCTCTCGCCAGGAGAGCAAGCCCTATGTGTGTAGTGACTGTGGCAAGGCTTTCCGACGAAGTGAGCACCTGATGAGCTACAAGCGAGCCCATACTGGCGAACAACCCTTTTCCTGCCAGGCCTGTAGTCGCTGCTTTACCCAAAGTTCCCAGCTGATCAGCCACCAGCAGGTGCACACAGGTGAGAAGCCTCACGCTTGTCCCCAGTGCAACAAACGCTTTGTGAGATGTGCGATCCTTGCCCGCCATCTGTTGACCCACGATGGCCTCTGGCCTTACCACTGTGCCCAGTGTGGCAAAAGCTTTAGCCAAATACAAGACCTGACTTGCCACCTGCTCAGCCACACAGAAGAGAAGCCCTGCTGATGCAGCGAGTGGAGAGAGGTTCAGCCAGAGTGCCCACCTGGCACGCCACCAACGCATCCACACGGGGGGGAGAAGCCCCACGCCTGTGACACCTATGGTCACTGCTTCCGCAACAGCTCCAACTTGGCCCATCACCGCCGCAACCACACTGGCGAAGGGCCCTACAGCTGCCCAACCTGAGGCCGCAGTTTCTGGCGCAATGCGTACCTGCAGCGCCACCTGATCACACACACCACATCCAGGCAAGAGATGGAAGACCCCCAGGAATGCCTGGAGTGTGGCAAGAGCTTCAGTCGCAGCTGCAACTTGCTGCGCCATCTGATGGGTCACACGGGTGCAAGGCCTTACTCCTGTGCGCTGTGTGGCCGTGGCTTCAGCTGCAATTCGCACCTACTGCGCCACCTGCGAACCCACGCCAGGGAGACGCTGTACCAGCTTCACCCATGCTCCAGCAGCCTTGTTCTCTATGAACCTCCCTGCATGAGTAAGAGTCCCTGTGACGTCCCCTTCACACATACCTCCTCTTGGTTCCTCCACCTTCTGCGTCCCCACCTTTCACCCCTGACCTTAGGAATGTGTTTTCCGATGCTTTAGGTAAAGTTACCTTCTTAAAAAAATAAAGAAAGAAAAAAAGAAAGAAAAGAAAAGAAAATGAGTGGGGGTAGCATATAGCCCTGACTTGTTTCTGTTTTTAGAGGGATCACTTCTTTTCCTGTTCTTTGCCACTTAGGACAAGGCTGGATGTGGGGAAGCCATTGCTTTGTAACATGACTTAGCATTAGTTTTTAAAAATAAGTCAGAAGAAAACACAACACAAAGAGACTATGCAAAGAAAGTTTTAGTGCTGCTCCCAAGGTTCATGGTCCATTTCCTTGCCTGAATTTGTCTTAGTCATTCTGAGTAGGCATTACTGATAGAGCAGTCCTCTGGGTGGAAAGGCTAGAAAGCATTGGGGGGGCCAGTAGAAGCATATGCTATTAGAAAAACCTTCCTAACAGAAGCACTTGGGAGGCCCTTAAAGAGCAAAATACACTAATCACATGCACACTGTACGCTACTATTCATAAGAATATTAATACAAAACAAGCTCTTGGGTCTTTGGGGGGAAATAGCACATATAGAAATTTCAACTTTAATATTTTCCTTAGTAATTTAAATTTATTCTTTTTATTTATTTATTTTTTCATTTTTCTCCACTCCCCTCTGTTCCTTCCCCCTCCCCTTCTGTCCTTTCCTATGGTACCCACACTCCCAATGTACTCAGGAGAGTCTTTTTCTACTTCCCATGTAGACTAGATCCATGGATGTCTCTTTTAGGGTCCTTGTTGTCTAGGTTCTTTGGGATTGTGAACTGTAGGCTAGTTTTTCTTTGCTTTATGTCTAAAAGCCACTTATGAGTGAGTCCACATTATATTTGTCTTTCTGGGTTTGGGTTTCCTCACTCAATATGATGTTTTCTAGATCCATCCATTTGCCTGCAAATTACAAGATATCATTTTTTTACCCACTGTGTAATAAATGTTATTCTTTATTGTAGAGAGATCCCAGGTTAGACTGATTAAGGAAGACTGAGGAGAAGGATTTGAAATGGCAAGTCATTTTTTTTGGATGAACTACACAGTAGAGGGTAGAATTATAGTCTAGACATAGGAAAAGCCCAGGTATCCATAGAAACGTACATCTCAATGGGTCAGCAGGTCCTGGAGTAGTACATTCCTGGAGTACAACCCCTTTGTGATGTACTTCTGTTCCAGAACTTGGGGCCCCTATACTCCATTCTTATCTCACTTTTCCCACCCACTTTCCTGAGACTTTCGAAGGCACTGACAGCTGTGGTTGGCTGATGCTCTAGGGTCAACTGAATCAAGGTACTTGGTTTCTTTCTGGAGAAAGGCTCTGGCTCCCTCATCCCTTCCTGTGTAGAGGAAGGTTCTTTCTGAAGGATGCTCCAATAAGTTAAAGCTGAGCAGACAGAAAGGTTAGGAGCCTGTGTAGATCAACCAAGTACTTGTGCCTTTCTTGTGTCTCCAGCAATCTTCAACACTTAGGTCCATGCTTTGAACTAAACCCTTACTGGGCAATCCCTTAAAGATCTTAGAAACTATAAGAGACTCATGTGACACTATTCTGGAGAGAAGCAGTGGTATCCCTCTTAGCTTCACAAACTTAGAAATTACCTGTATGCCTGAGATTTCCTCCATCCTCAATGACACCAAATAGCCTCCATTAGAGGGGCTACTTTTCAACTTTCTCTTCTTGAATCTTCAAGGTTCCAGAGATACCTCAATGTCCACTCACTAAATTTTTTTTGGATGACTTCAGTTTGTGGACCCCCTTGAGACAAAGCAAATTCACTGACATTCCAGTAGATGTGGGCATTCCAGCTCTTTTATCTTGGCAGGAATTTCTAAATTAGTCCAGTAATTCACACTCTCCTTAATAGATCCACCTCTTTTCAGCACAGCAGAGCCATATATTCCTTTCTTTGATCTCTGAAAACCATAAGTCGGGGAGACCATTAAACCTTCACTGACTTTACCTCAGAATACACCACAAAACATCTACACATGTTGCAGGACACTGTACCACAAAGCATCAATCTAAATTATTTAATAGGAGGCTACAGGAGAATTATTTGAGCCCAGAGTTTCTCCGTCAGCTTAGCATCATAATATCAATACCGTGTCTCAAGGGGAAAAAAAAAATCAAGAGTAGGTAATGATGTAGATACATGGATTTAAATTTCAGTAGGGTCCCAGAAATGTGTCTTTTATTTAAAACTTCTTTAATATGCCTCTTAATTTCTTTAATAAACTAAAAGGTTAAAACATTTATTTATTGATGAAGGAAAAAATTCTGCTGGGTTGAGAGGTAAGCAAGTGACTGAAATTGAAAAAAAAAGATTGATAAATATCTAAGATTGTCTTCAATATGAAAAAATTCTACAAATAAGCAGTATGTACCTAACAGCCTTGAGGCTAAGAAGTGTATTAAGAGTGGGAAGTCAAGGAACTATCTGAAGCTGGCAGAGACTATGGGAAAGGAGCATGGGAGGTGAAATATAAGAAAAGTATAATGATATACATGTATGAGTAGATCAGCATGAAAGCCAGCTTTTGAAAATAAACCACAAAAGCTATTTAAAAGACAAACACATTTACAAAGGAAAGTAGCTTAATGAAGAGGACAGCACTCTTATTTTGTTAGGTGCCAGCCACCAAGCTTAAGTTTGGTAGTCAGGATCCACATGGTAGAAGAGGAGAATGGACTCCTGTAAGGTGTTCTCTGACCTCCACAGACATATAAGGGTACACATACAAATACATACGAAATAAAAATGTAACCAATTGTTCAAACATATTTTGAAGTCCCTTTGCTGACTCTTTAACACAGATAAGTTAGTTTTTCCACTGCTCTTCTTTTTTTCTGAGACAAAGTTTCTTATATGTAGTACAGGATAGTCTTGAAGTCCTCCCATCTTCCTATCTCATTCTCCTAAGTGCTAGGGACACAGGTGTTCACCACCAAGTCTAGCTTCCTAAGGAAATTTGTTCTGAGTTTTTTCCATGATTGATTTTAATTGATATACAACAATAGTGCATATACAATTAAAATATAGTATGGCTATTCAAGATACACATATGTGTGTGCTTATCAAATATGGGTAATTAATATTTCTCTGTCCTTATGTAGTCATCATTTCTATGTGAGTGAAGCTTTATAAACTCTCTCTTCTACTCTGATAAAGCTGGGAAACTAAAGCAAGGGCCTCTTACACGGTAGGTAGGAATCCTACAGGATTTAATCATGTATTGTCCAGCCTGGCCTTGATCTCACTTTGTAGCTCAGGCAGGTATTGAACATAGGATCCTTCTACCTCAGCCTTCCAACTATCTTGTATTACAGGCATAGGAATGGAACTTTGGCTTCTCGTTTCCTCCCTTACAAATTCACCATATGGAGCTATAATTTGTAGTCATTAAAAGTGTGCTGCGAAATACTTGCATCTAGCCTTCCTCTTTAGCTGTTGGGTGTTTGCTGTGCCTTCTTCTTCTGGACTCCCCACCACTTGCCTTCCAGTGACAAATGTTTCATTCTTAGCACCTGTGAAGTCAGTTTTCACTTTCCTCATATGGGTGAGGATATGGGCCTCTGCTTGCCCAATTCAACATCTTTCTCTGGTCTCTTCATCTCAACGAACACTCCAGGGTGACTATTCAGGACAGACGCTTGCCCCACTCTCTGAGACTCAATCTAACTTCATATATGTTCATAGACTCCTAAGCACTAATTTTCCTGTTGACCTAATCAGGATAAAGAGGAGGACAGAAGATGCCATGTGCTGAGAGTTACTAACCATCCACACCTTCTTCCTTCACAGGATACCTTGTTTTGTTCTGGAAGAAAATCGGACGGTGTCTTTTCAAAGTCTCACTGATTCCACCGACATGAAAACAGGGAGTTCTTGTGTGAAGAGTTCTGTGGAAGACACTCATGAACCAAAGAAGATGTGTAAGGTGAGGTGACCAGGCAGGGGGTGTGCAGAAGCAGCTGAGTGACCAAGAGCCATTGAAGAAAGAGTTCTCAGAAGGTGGAAACCAGAGGCACTCAGGACAAGGACCAAAGTCTCCATAGGACCTCCATAAATCTCAGGATTTCTCTACGCACACACACACATGCACACATGCATGCACACGCACACTCAATATGTCCTTCTAAACCATCCCTGAAAACCAGATTGGTGATCTAGTCCTAAACGCATTTAGTGACGTTCAGTCCCTTGTAAGTGTGGGAGGAGAACAAATAACCAGCAGTGAGCATTTCCAGCGTAACTGGGAAATGGCTGTTGTTCACATCTCTCATTTGACCCACGCATTTCCCAGGATCAATTATCTTGATTTTCTAGGCGTACCACTGAGGTCCTCCAACACAGAGGGCATTCTGGGATGAATGGCACACATGTCCAGCAGAGTAGCTGCCAGATTTTACATTTCCTCCTTTTCTAGGCTTTCCAGGATATTTCTACATACTTTTCTGAGGAGGAGTGGGCGAAGCGAAGCACATGGCAGAAAAGTGTCTATGTGTATATGAAAAGAAACTACATCAGAATGACGGCCCTAGGTAACGGGAAGTTCTGGGTTCAGACAAGCCTGGGTGTCTCCCAGTTATTTTCTATGCCACAGTTTCTTCTCACCATATAGCATGTCCCTCTCCCACACTATACTCTCTTCCTGAAGAAATATCAAGGTGCTTGCTGAGCAAGCTGCTCTCTTCCATCTTGTTCAGGGCTGACAGCATAGCGCACAGGCAGCAGGGCTCAGGCCTGCAGTCTGCACTGTTCTTTCCTGCGGTCCCTTGTTCTTGGGGACTCTTGTGTGCTGCGTCCCAGATTCTGCTTTCATTTCCCCTCTTGTGCTGTCGGTTAAAGAACAAGCACTTTGCTTCTTCTTAGGGGTCACAGTCAACCAACCAGTTTTCATGCGTGGCAAGCAACAGTCCAAAGAAATCCTGGTGGAATGTTTTCAAGTTCATGGCCATGAGAATAAAGGTGAGTGGTCAAGGTCAGTCATGATGCCTGGTAAGGTCACAGGCAGGTCTTTGCTTATTCACGTTAGGACTGTGTGGAAAAGGGTTCATTTAGAGGATTATGTAGAAGACCTTTTCATATAAAAGTCTAAAAGGTTAAAAAGAACACACATTATTTTGGATAATAAGTAAATGACAAATGGGTAACAACTTCCATTGGAATGCACACCGTACTGTATCACATCCTAAACATAGGCATCCACCCTATACACATACATGCAGTCATTGACACAGAGATACAACTCAACACACACACACACACACACACACACACACACACACACACACACACACAGTAACTCCCAGGAAAGCAGGCCAGATTGCACAAGCTCCCACAAGCACTTTACTTGTTCTTAAACTCTAGGCCTGAAGTTTATGCACAATTTTTGAGAGCAAAGGAGAATTATTACCCTAGATAGCCCCCCAAAACACTGAGCTAAGTCACTTATACTTCCTCATGCAGTTAACCCTTGAATATTCAAATCATTTCATGTGTTAAGTAAGTTTTTTATTATTTCACATCTGAAAGTATCGACAGTTCAAAATTTCCTGAAATCAACTTAATATTATGAGGCAAAAGAAATGTCCTGGAATAGGATGAGGCAGTTATGAGACCGGGACAACATTTCATAAACAATCACAAGGAGACTTCGAAACTGATACTGTAGATAATGCCTATGTCATTAATAAAGTGAAAGAGAGCCATGCTCCGCCCATTCCTCCTCCATGAGTACGCTGTAACCCTCCACTCTAGCATTCCCTAAACTGGCAGGATTCTGAACTTTTGAAATATTTACTAACAAACAAAACCTTCTGACTTCTCACTTTCCATAGACAAACATTCCGAAGGGACTTCTGGCATAAAACCAAAAAAACGCATAAAGGTGAGTATCACCTATTTCTGTAGGAATGCTCCATGTTTGCCTTCAGTTCATGCCCACATTGTTGAGGATAGTTTTCTTTTTGGTGGTGGATGAGTGTATAAAATATATTTGATACTTAAAGTATAAAATTTAATGTGAAGCATCACATATTGTTTCAAATGACAATTCTAACTGTATGGAAATTCACTGGGTTGTATAAACTTTGGGCCTGGGTAATTATTTATTTGCAAGATCCTGTGTTAAATAATACCCAGTGAATTAAAATACCCTAAATCACATGGCAGAAATACTGCCTGTAGATTACTATTTGCCAAAATGCTTTATCCAAGATTCTCTTTTATAGTTGACATCACTGAATCTAGATCCTCATAATGAAAATGAAGGACTTGCCTCTGAAGATGCTGCTGCTTCCACTGCTTCCACTGCTTCCACTGCTTCCACTGCTTCCACTGCTTCCACTGCTTCCACTGCTTCCACTGCTTCCACTGCTTCCACTGCTTCCAATCTGCCAGGTTGAGTGCAATCTAATTTGATGTGGGATTCCCCTCTGTATGTGTGAATAGCATTGATAATAAACTGTCTTAGGCCTGTGATAAGGTAGAGTAGAGGTAGGTGGGGAAAACTAAACTAACTGCTGGAAGAAAGGTGGAGTCATGGAAAAGCCATGGAGCTGCCATTGGAGATAGACATGTTAAAACCTTGCCAGTAGACCACGAGCCTCGTGGTAAAATATAAAATAATGGATATGGGTTAAATTAAGATGTAAAAGCTAGCCAATAAGAAGTTAGAGCTAATGGGCCAAGCAGTGATTTAATTAATACAGTTTCTGTGTGCTTATTTTGGGAGTCTGGACGGCTGGGAAATGAACAAGTGACCTCTTACACTAATTCCTGTTCTTGAACATAATTTCTTCATTCTTTTTCAATATGGTATTTTATTTAAAGTTTGAGGATTTTATATAATGTATTTTGACCATAGTCACACATACCCCACTCTTTCACCTAATTAACATAAAACATCTTTCCTAGATGTTTTTCCTCACTTCCCCACATTCCTCAAATTCATGTCTTGTTTGTTATTGTTTAAAAATAACCAGCCAAGCCCCATTTGTGCTGTCTATATACTAAGTGATGTGCAATCATCCACAAGAGTATGGGCTGACCTAATAGGGGCCATACCCTTAAAACCGACTCTCCCTCCCACGAAAGTCATCTATTGTCAACAGCTGCTCATAGAGGTCTGGAAGCTCATGAGTCCCTACTCCTTGCTAGAAAGCTGACAGGCTTGATTCTACGCATGTCTTATGTAGGAAAAGACAACTCCTGTGAGCTCTTGAGTTTGACACTCCTGCCATGTCCATAAGACACTATATGCTCTGTTCCTCCCTGTCCTCTGCTTATTACAATCTCTCTATCCCCTATTCTGCAATGGTACTTGAGCTTGGGAGGAATGTGTGTGACATTTATGTTCAGTGTTTATCTAAACAATCGATAGACACTTATTTTCTGCAGTCTAACCAGTTGGGAGCTTCTGTATTAGCCACCACTCACTGTACAACAAAACTTCTCTGGTAATGACTGCGAGCTATCTATGCATAGAGAGATATGGATTTAGAGGTTAGTTTGTACTACATTCATTTAGCAAAATCATAGTAATGGGTTTTCCCCATGGGGCCTGTGCAACCACAGGTTCTTGGTCAGATTTACAGTACCAGGACTGCATGTCTTCAATCACAGCATTCTAGTAATTAAAGATGAGGATCAGCACAACTGTGCGAATTATTGGCCCGAACAGCAGTTTCATTGGTTCTCTAGTCCATAGCCCAAGCCACTGAAATGCATTCATGTCTTCTTTCATTTCTGAAATTTAGTCAGGCATTCCCCCATAGTCTGTTCTTTTATCCTGACACTCACTGTCCAACCAGGAATCACCAACTGGCCTCTGCTCTGTAAATGGCCCATGTACTCTTCTGACTGGAAATGACAGGGCTTTCACTGTGGACTCCTCTCACTGTTATCGACTCCAGGACATATCGACACCTGGAAACTGTCTGCCTCACAGACCCAGGGACCCTGAGAGATACCTGACAATTTATGAAATGGTAGTTTCCACGGCTGCAGGTTCTAGTCTAGTGTAGAAAGTTTAGGGAGCTGAGAGTTCTTGGCCAGTGAAGGCACAGTTAAAGAAGAGCAAGTATTCAGTTTTATTATTATATCATTTAAACAGTGTTTCCATTTGGGTGTGTTGGGCATGCCTATAATTGCAAAGTTCTGTAGGGTCATTATATTAAGACTTTTCTAGGGTACGTGAAGGGATCTTGTCTCAAAACCAAAATCAACCAACCAACCAACCAACCAACCAACCAACCAACCAACCAACCAACCAAAACCCAAAAGAAATAAAGAGTGGGTATGGAGAGACTGTTCAGTGGTTAGGGGTATCTGCTGTTGTTCCAGAGGACCGGAGTTCAGTTCCTAGCACCCACACTGGGTAGTTCACTATTATGTCACCCCAGTTCCAGAGGATCTGACAAATCCATACATATGTCACACATACGCAGAGGCATACACGTGCACACATAAATAAAAATATAAATATAAAATAAAAGGCAATAAGTTGTGTTTCTAATGAAGGATAAAACAGGAAAGCTATACTAGATGATGGGGGAGGGGAACCAAACAGTATACTGGATGGTATAACCTGAAGTGGCCTTTGGTCTGTATTGCTGTATGGTTAATAGCTCAGTCTTTGTGAGCTAGCAGATGTAAAAATCAGACAATGGAGAAGGCCTATAGGCTCATGGAAGAAACAAGCCTTGTTCTTTTCTGACAAAACAAGGCCCTAAACCATCTAACGCTCACGTACTAATCCCTCCCTATTTCAGGAGCTGGTGACATTCAGGTAAATGTCTGGAGTAACCGGTTGAGGAAAAGGAAGAAGCGAGTGATCCATGAAGAGATCAGGGATCCCAAATAGATGATGACGGAATCTGTAAGTGGTCCTTTGACACATCTCCCAAACCCCAGAATACACACTTTTCTCATATGGTATTGGATCAGTCATCCACTTCTAGTCTTTGGGGGTGCTACACTGAACCTGAAGTACTATGCCATGCTTCCTTTACTTCAAAGCTGGGTCTTTTGGAGACCTTCCCTACCCAGGATGCTGTGGGCTCCCAAAACCCAGGTCAGCTCTCAAAGTACAAGCCATGCCTTCCTCTGGTTTAGGAATTCAAAGAGAAGGTGAGGCAGTCACTGTGCTCTGAGCAGAGGGTTGAGCTGTGGAGCAGAGGCTCTGAGGTTTGGCTGGAGGGAAGCATGTAGGCTTTGAAGGATGGGAGGAAACAGACCAGTGAGTAGGTAGTGTGAACTCACTACCATTTCTTTTCTTTCTTGTTTCAACCATAGAGTCGAAATAATACCAGGATGAGAAGAAGAATGTGGTGGGAATTCTGGATCATTGCCATGACTTTGAAAGACTAAATATCAAATATATCTATCTCTCTTTATAGATATATGCATATATTTATTTATAAAGAGTCACTAAAATTCGAAGTATCGGTTTTCATATTATTTGTCAAGTGATCTCTTAGCAATTTTGTAGGATGTGTCAAGCACTCTGTCAGGACTTTGCTCCCTATTGACACTGTGATAAGTCCCATTAGAATGTTCTTCCTTTTGCCAGGCCATCTTTAAGCATAAATCTTGCTACATGGCATCTGGTCACACTGGGGAGACTACATACTACATGCTAAGCATTCTGTTAATATTCTTACTGTGTAAAAAGCACTCTGGTAGAATATCAATGTTTCAAGCAGACAAGATGGCTCAGTGGTAAAGGATCCTGCTGCCAAGCCTGATGACCTGAGTTTAATCCTAAAGACCCACATGGTGGCAGAGAGAACTGATTCCTGATAATGTCTTTTGATGTTCACGACTGTACATACACAACATATATATTCATATATATATGAAGATAAAATAAGTCTATCAATATTCTACTCAGTGAGACATATTCCTAGTGCAAACAGCTGCTTGTCTGTCCTGTACCTGTCTTAGGGACCATGAGCTATCAATCATCCTTTGCACTGAAGCATACTGCCCTTTCCTTTGCCCAGGACTACTGAGCAGAGTTGTATTGTTTACTTTAGCACATTTCTCTGTATGTGAACGCACATGTACATGTCATCACTATGGTCAGCTGTCACCTGCCATGCTCCACTAGCACTGTGTCTAGTCACAACCACCTTATTCCATTTTCTGGTCAGTATGTACTTTCACCCCTGGTTGCACACAGGTGACAAATCCAAATTCTGTGATGTAGGAGAATCTGGATTTGCCTGACAACATAGGTAACCCTCATTTACCCAAGAGCCTAAGGCTCAGTGTAGACCAATATTTGCTTCTATGAAGATTAAAACTTATTCTTTTTTAAAATTATTTATTTATTATGTATACAATATTCAGTCTGTGTGTATGTCTACAGGCCGGAAGAGGGCACCAGACCTCATTACAGATGGTTGTGAGCCACCATGTGGTTGCCAGGAATTGAACTCAGGACCTTTGGAAGAGCAGGCAGTGCTCTTAACCACTGAGCCATCTCTCCAGCCCCTAAAACTTATTCTTTTACCCTCTAATCTTACTTTTTTGGAAGAAAGTTGTAACACCTGATTCTAGGGATCGAACTCAGGTCCTCATGCATGCAAGGATAATGCTCTACCTCTCGACTATACTGGATGAGTAGTTACTGCTTTATTGCTGACTAAATGCCTGATAAAAATAAAGGAAGAAATGTTCTTTTGGCTTCTAGTTTCAGTGGGTTCCGTTGATGGATGCTTTTCCCATCCATACAACATGTAGGAGAGGATGTTCCTCCCTTCTGACTGACTAACATACCCAACAGGACCAGGAGTCAAGATGGCACTCTAGAAAAAAAAAAGACACACTGACATTTAGGATTTTGTATGAACATGAATAGATAGTGAAGTAGTAACTTAACAGAAATCTAAGAAAGGTGGCCCAACAAGTGTGTGACTAGAGGCAGAAAGATTAACAGATGCCCGGATTTATCCCATGCTTTTTCAGACCTAGGCCAGCTGGCCTTGGTGAGTTCCTAATAGAACATCCCCATTGTCTCAGTGTGTGGGTGCTCTTCGAGCAGATGAGGGAGGGGGACTTGATCGGGGGAGGGGGAGGGAAATGGGAAGTGGTTGCGGGGAGGAGGCAGAAATCCTTAATAAATAAATAAATTAAAAAATAAAAAATAAAAAAAGATTAACAGATGCCAAGTACAAGGTCAGACCTGAATGGCACCAAAGTTAGAAGAGTTCAGAGAATAATGGATTTAAGGCTCATATCTGAAGAACACAGATGGTACAAATGAGACCTAGGGCTCTGGACCAATGTAGACAAGGGACACATAATCTGTGTGTGCCACAGTCAGGTCTAGACTTCATTAATATTACTTGGCAGATGCTATGAGGTGAGCTGTGTCATACACCCATCTCACACGCCATTCATATGTAGGAGCTATAATGCCCAGTGTAGCTCTCCTAGGGGTGATAGAGGTAATGCAGGTTCCTACAGCTATGGCTCTCATGAACTGGCATGTTGGCCTTGTGGAAAGGGAGGAGACAAGAGATCTCTGCCTCAGCATCATGTGAGGATGCAGAGGTGCTGATAAATGATCATGTTCAACAAAACAAGTAAGTGCAGAAAGGCAGATGGTTCAAGTTTAATTTTAATGAGTAACCACATTTAAATCTGAAATCTTGTGTAACTTTGTGTGTAGGACATGAAACTAGAAAGGGTACCATAAGATGGGAGGCTGAGTCCTTAAAGAGGGAAAAAGTGTGTATACAGGGGCATGGAAGTAACAGGGACAATTGGGGAGGAAGAAGAGGGCTAGCAAAGGGGATAGACAGGGGGACAAGGTGATTGTTGGTTAAAAACCACTAACATGGGGATATGTCATTCTGAAAACCATTACTTTGTATGCTACCTTAAAACATTAAGTAAACAGAGTCCTGAGAATGAAATGCAAAGAGAAAAGAGTCTACTTCTGAAGCAGAGTTAGTGATCTTCTGGTGGAAAAAATCTTATATTTGGGGGAAACTGGGATCCACGAAAATGAAAGATGAAAACTGGCCATTCTTGTCACTCTCTAGAAATGCTCTTACCCAGTTATCTGTCTCACTAACACTCACTGTAACACATGTGAAGTAGAAACTGAAGACTACTCCCAAGGTAAATGTTAATAGTGACAGACTGATGCCTTCCAGCTGCAGTATCATGCTCAGAGGTCTGGGCAATGGACTTTGTGTTCTAGGTTTCTGAAAAAATGGCCTAAACATTTTGTACTGAATTCATGTGTAATGGAAGAAAAATATCCATGGCTCAACTGATTTATGGATATTTAAGTATTCTTTATATGTACCTATAGGGATTAAAATGTATATGATTTGCCTTGAGCATATTAGGTACCCCCAAATAGTAACTATTTATGAAAATACCAAATACACAATGAATACATCTTAAATGCTCCAAGTGCCAATGGAGAAATTTGGAAGTTCTGTATCCAAGGTATTCAGAATTCAGTCGGGGTTTACATCTGGATTTTGTTCCCTGGAGATACTCAGCAGATATCTATCCACCTGGAAAGGACACTGAATCTGGGTGTGGCTGCCAGCCTTAAATGGTACTCTGCTTGCTAGGTTGGCTGGTATGGGCTACTCTTGTAAGGACTAAATCCACCCAGCCTCTTTAACAAATGAGTTCTACCAGAGTTTTAGGCTCCGATTCTGAGCCATTATCTATAGTTTATGACTTTATGCACTGAAGAAACTGTTGGCACAAGGAAATGAAAGCATAGTCACTGCATGCTGTGTTGTTATCATCGTAGATCCTGGTAAACTGGGATCTTCAGTCAGCTCATCTGGCTACCCTTCAGAGGCTCTGCCCAGATATTCTTCACTTCCACTCTGATCTTTAGTGTGTCTGGACCAGCCCTTTCCCCTAGAAACTCTACTTGAGTGGAGAATCTGGTTCCAAGTTACCCATTTGACCCAGCTTGACAATGACAACAAGTAATGAAAAAAGGCTCCTGTGGGTGGCTTCTGTGTCTACTTTTGTGTATTTAGCACATTAAAATGCCAAATTTGGGTATAAGGTCAAATTTCCTTCTAAGTATTTATGTTTATGCCCATAAGTTATTGCTGCCAGAACTGTCCAGAGAAGTGGCTGGTAGCAGTTACTCCAGAGATACTTTTTTGAGGCATAGTTTCTCTGTGGAAAGTTTTCTCAGCCCTGGCTGTCCTGAAACTCCCTCTATAGACCAGGCTGGCCTCAAACTCTGAGATCCACCTGCCTCTGCCTCCCGAGTGCTGAGATTAAAGGTGTGCACCACCACCACCATCTGACTACTCCCAAGATTCTTAGGTAGCCAAAGTGTTGAGAACATGTGACTGTTGAATCTACAGTCTTAAATGAGACATGCATACCATCCCCTCCATGGGTCAGGGGACTCCATGGAAGAAGGTGGAGAAAGAATACAAGAAGTAGAAGACAGGGTGGAGTGGTGTGGACTTTAGTTCTCTAGGACATGACATAGCCTTTGCATGCCTGAAAGCTCAGTAGCTGTTATTAGTTGCAGAAGACTGGGCCCTCATCATTCTGTCATGGAGAGAGTAGAAAGGTCATGAGCCTTTCACACATTCCTGAGGATTGGTAGGAAGTTACAGTTGCTAGGGAGATGGGCTTGGGAAATTTTACCCCTCCTTATGGATCTCTAGGCAGTTAATGCTTTCAGAGTGTAAGAGAAATTTACTTCAGTGGTGTAGCCACTAGTAAGGTGCCCATGATTCTAACCCCCAGCACATGCCATTATAGGAAACAAATGAAAAACATGTGTTGACCAAAAGAGTTCTGAAGATATAAAAGAAAGTACCTGGGGACTGGAGGATTTCTACCTGGGTACTGGGATCAGGAGTAGTGGTAGGGAGAAAAAGTAAGGTACTTGGAGGTGATGGGGATAAAAAAAATACATGGATGGGTGAGGATCTGTTAAATAAGCTCTCCACATATGGTTCTCTAGGTAACCTTAATTGAGGTTACAGGTTGATAAAAACAAACAAACAAAAAACCCCATGAAAATAGAAATAAGACTAGTTGAGAAAAATACTGAGACCAGGAGGAGTGAGAAGAGGACACAACTTGGTGATGGGACATAGGACATAGTCACGATCAAAACACATTATATGCTTGTGTTAAAACATCCCAATGAAAAGAGGTTAAAACAACTGCAACTTACCTCTTTGCAGTGTGTGAGAATTGTGGGTTTGTGACTCACTTTCTTAGCATGGGCCAGGTCCTGGGACAGATCTGTAGAGCTGCAAAGAATAACAGTAAAGTCCAAAGTGATCTGATCAGTGGATGGAGAGGTGGTTCTGTGGTTAAGGGTACACATGCTCTTACAAAAGACTCAGATTTGCTTCCCAGAACCCACATGGGATCTCACCCAGTATTTAACTCCATTTCTAGGGTTGTGATTCCCTCTTCTAGCCTCCACAGGTACTGCACACACATTGTGCATATACATACAGGCAGGCAAATCATTCATATAGGTAAAATATAAGTAAATAAATAATTTAAAAAAAGTGACATGATCATCTGCATAGGCAATGTGACAATTCATTAAAGATCTCAACAAATGTGTTCTGTGCATGTGCACCTGCTCCCCTTGAATAACAGAACTCAAGCTTGTGCTGTTAACTCCATTTCACTCCTGCCATTATCCCCACTAGGCCCCTTTGTTCTCCATATATAGTCAAAGCCTACAATTATGTTGTCAACTTCATCTACCCTACTCACTGGACCCATACTTCCAAGTACACTTGGTCCCTTCTCTAGGCAGAGACATTAGACTCATGCTGCCAAATACCTTCATCCCTGCAACCTTTCCAGAGGGGGGCATTAGGCCCATATCTACAACTCCACTGACTCTACTTACTGTAGGATCACATGCTTGCCTTTCAGCCCCCATTCTGCCCCTCTTCTTTATGTAGAGATCTTAGTCTATCACCATCTCAGTTAGACCCCTTTACTGGAGGAAAGTCCAAACACCTCTCCCAGATTACTGAAGATTGCCTGAGGGAATATTCCAATTTGAAAGTCATCAACCTTACTTAGTCTGGGCTGAGTAAAAATTGCTTCTGATACCCATTTGAATATCAACTTTAAGATGCCCAAAGACTGAATTCTAAATCCCACACAGATGCCAGGAAAGAAAGCTTCAACAGAGGAGAGACAGGATCTTCATACCAAGATGTAGGGTAAACTCCGCCCAATGGGGGGCATGTTCGCCTCAGGCTAATGTTTACATATAAATCTGGCGGTGTGAGCCCCGCTGGTCTCTCTTTATTGTATCTCCTGCTCATCGCTGGATCCCTGGTGTTGTAAGCTATTCCTTCATTAAAATTTGCTGTTTCATATTAAGCTAGCCTGGTTATTATGCCGCCTACATTTTGGCGCCAATGTCGGGCTTTTTTGCCCTGCCCCGACATAGGCTTGAATTTTAGTTTGAGAGAGCTACACGCCCCAATCTCGTAGCCCTCTGCTTGGGTCCTAAAAACACAGCAGTTTTTTAGTTCGTGACTCGGGTCCCAGTGCCGAGTCCGAGATACACTCGGCTATGCATGCCATAGCCTGCGGGGCCCATTCCGCCCCGCCCGCCAGATCTACTCGCCTGGAGCACATTAACTCCTCCCTGCCTGCCTTGGCTAAGTTTGCAACGGAACCCCGCTGCCTGAATTAGCGGAAGCTCAGGTGCCTGCGGTTTTGCAGCACCAGGGCGGTTCCCCATTTGCGCCACCACAGCCGCCACAGCAGCAGATTTGGTCTGATACAAAGGGACCGTTTCAGCGACCACTTTAACTCCTCAGGTGCAAGAATCCATGTTTAATTCAAGGCTGAATCCGGCCTTGGCTCTGCCAGGCTTCCTGGCCCTCCCCCCAACTGCTATTTATCAGCCCGGTGTCCGCTCTAATTCACACAGTACACAGTCTACTTTAACTTTCGGTTTTGAGTTATTGTTTCAGACCGGCTCTGACTTCGGCCACGTGGACTCAGGTGAATTTCTTTTGCCACCACTGGCAGGAAACGGTTATTACAGGTAAAAAATTTTCTTTTATAAATAAAAATAAATACTGATTTGATTGAAAATGTCTGAAAACGTTACCATTCAAGACTTTAACAGCCTTTTTGATTGTACCATGTGGGAGATTTTACAAGAGGTGTCTGTCACCCCACATCTATGGATCTTTCTGGGATTCGTAGTTTTCCTTGGTACTATATGGTTTGATAATAGAAATATGATAAAGTGTTTACGAGATGAATCCAGGATTCTTAAGGCAGAGGTTGAATGCTTAAAAATGATTGAGAATGACAACAATCTTCTCAAGAATCAGTTTGAAGTTCTCCAGGAAGAGAACAGATCTTTGTTTAACATGACTCGATCGACTGAGCAAAATTTAGAAAAGGTACAGGCTGATGTTAAGGAGAAATTCATTACTATGGAAGAAGGAACAGCTGATTTGGATCGTATGCTTCAGTCCCTTTCCGTAGGAACTGAAACATTAACGGCTGATGTTAATAAGAAATTCATTACTATGGAAGAGGGAACAGCTGATTTGGATTGTAAGCTTCAGTCCCTTTCTGTAGGAACTGAAACATTAACTGAGAGAATCAAAACTGCTGAATGTGACAATCGGATTTTGTCTAAAGCTTATGACAGATTGACAGAAAGATTGTCAATAAAAGAAGGAAAGGTTCATGCCATAAAAATTATGTCCAAAGATGAGATGTTATTTCTAATGGACAAACTTCATACTTTAGAATCCTCAATGAAGGCTTTGGAACATAATTCTGGACAGGAGATTCAGACATTGCAGAAGGCAATGGTGAATAGAATTGAAAAGATTGAGGAATTTCTAAATTCTGATGAAGAAGAGCAAAGGGTAGAAAGGCAAATTTTAACTCCACCTGTGGGTAAATCTCTCCGGGACAATTCCCACAAAGCTCTACCTACAGCTCTACCTGCCTTTCCAGTAATAACAACAGAGAAAGTGGTTGGTTCCAGAAACCCTAGGGTCATCAAGGAAGATACATGGGAGCCTGTCTGTATGAATGATCTCAAAGAAATTAAACAGACTGTCATGACTTTTGGGATGCAAGCCTCTTTTGTTAAAGAGATGCTAAGATCTTGGGCCATGCCAAGCAGAGCAACCCCCTCGGACTGGCTCCAGCTGAGCTCTGTGGTACTTGAGAGTGGACCGCAATTGAACTGGAAATGCTTATTCAGGCAAGAGGCTAGACTCTTAGAACAGCAGGAAAGAGCGAAGGGAATTGACATTTCCCTAGATAAAATTCTAGGTGAAGGGCTCTTTTCTGACTCTCAGGAACAAGCTAATTTTGACGAAAACACACTCTCTATATGTACTACAGCAGCCTTAAGGGCTTGGGACAGGGTACAAGACTCAGGACAGAGAATGGAATCATTTGTCAGAGTTAAACAGGGTCAGAGAGAACCCTTTAGTGACTTTTTTACAAAGACTAACTAAAGCTGTACAAATAGGGATATCTGACCCAGAAGCAAGACGTATAATGATTGAATCTTTGGCTTATGAAAATGCAAATGTGGAATGCAAAAGGATCTTGGGGCCTTTAAAGCTCAGATCAGCGCCCTTGGAAGAATGGGTCTTGCATACACTGAATGTTGATACATTTGACTATGGCACTGAAGCATGGGTAGAAGAAGCAATTTCCAATGGTAAAAGGAGACACCAGAATACCAAATGTTTTAATTGTGGCAAAATGGGTCATATGAAAAGGAATTGTAGACAACGGATTTTCAGAAAAAAAATAATAATAATACTGCATCTTCTAGAAATAACAGAAATAGGAGGACTCAGCCTTCAGGTTTATGTAGAAAATGTGGAAAAGGCAGACACTGGACGAATGAATGCAGGTCTACAAGAGATAGACAAGGCAACCTGATACAGACTGGAAACATGAGAGGGGGGCCTCACAGGCCCCCATGGCAAACATCGTTCAGTCATTTCCAGTTTCTGCAGAGAACGTGCCTCGTCAGGACAATTAGGAAGCCCCATGCCTATTGTTACAAGCAATAATGATTAGAAGGATGAGTTCCGTGTATTTTGGCAAACTCCTATAAGTGATCAAAGACCAAAGCTAAGAGTGTGTGTAAATGGACACAGGTGCGGATGTAAGTATCATTACCCCAGAATCATGGCATCCGTATTGGCCTCTTCAGAATGTAAATGTTCAGCTCCTGGGAATTGGAACCCTATCTCGAGTAAGGCAGAGCACGAGATGGGTTGAATGCATAGGGCCAGAGGGACAAATAGGAAAATTAAGGCCATATGTAGCCAATATTGCAGTGAATTTATGGGGTCGTGACCTATTACAACAATGGAATACACAAATTAACATTCCTGCTACTTCTAGAGCTTATATTTCTGAGAATAATATTAAAAGATATTACAAACGGAGAAAACCGGCCATTCGGGCTGTACAAGAACAAACAATTGATGTCCCTTCAGAGATACCAACAGCCTTGCCTCTAAAATGGTTGACTGAGAAACCAATATGGACAAAGCAATGGCCTTTAGCTGAGGAAAAGTTACAGGCTTTAGAACAGCTGGTACAAGAGCAATTAGATGCTAGACATATAGGAGAATCTACCAGTCCTTGGAATTCTCCTGTATTTGTGGTTAAGAAAAAATCAGGTAAATGGAGAATGGTGACAGATCTCAGGGCTATCAACAAGGTTATTCAACCTATGGGCCCTCTGCAATCTGGAATTCCTTTGCCCTCTTTATTACCAAAAGGATGACTTCTCATAGTTATTGATTTAAAGGACTGTTTTTTCACTATACCTTTACAAAAAGAAGATAGAGAAAAATTTGCCTTCACAGTGCCTACTTATAACAATTCTCAACCTTCGAGGAGGTACCACTGGGCCGTCCTCCCCCAGGGTATGTTAAATAGCCCCTTCCTGTGCCAATATTTTGTGAATCAACCATTGCAAATAATACACAAGAAATTTCCCAAATCGATAATATATCATTACATGGACGACATTTTGTTATCTGATTCAAACATGGATACCTTGAACAGACTGTTTGAAGAAATAAAGATACTTTTACCTACATGGGGATTGCAGATTGCTCCTGAAAGATTCAGAGGGGAGATTCTGTTAACTATTTAGGTTATAAAATAGGTTTGCAAAAAATTAAGACACAAAAGGCACAAATTAGGAGAGATCGCCTACGGACTCTTAATGACTTTCAAAGACTGTTAGGAGACATTT